GTGCAATATCATTCTTTACATTAGATAATGGGCTATTTAATTGTTCTGGAGAGGAATTTCCTCCACAGTGACTGGAAATGTTTGGACCATTTCGATTTGGCAGCCTGCAAGAGGCCCCCTGAGGTGTTTCCTGATGGTAAGGTGTTGCCTCATATATCTATCATTGATCTGCACTCATTGGTCCAATGTTGGCCTTTGCTGCATCTTCTACATAATCCAGAAGTTCGGGGTCTCCTCTTTGGGTTATTCCTACAAGGAGTATTTCTAGGAGCACCCCATGTACAGTTTTTACTTATATGACCTGATGTACCACAGTTAAAACATTTGGTAATCCGGGGCCTTCTTCTACCCTTGGAAAATGCCTTTCCTGTCCAAGCTTCATTACTATGATTAACAGACTCAATACCAATTGTATACTGAATCCATTCTCCCAAAGTAGCTGATCTGACCTTTAATGGCATAAGTATTCTTTTGCATTCTGTATTAGCATTGTCAAATGCCAAGGACCCAGTTAACACTTGTTTTAATTCTTTATCTGACACAGCTTTTGTTATAGCTGTGGTTAGCTTTTGTAAAAAAAAAAAAAATCAGTGAAAGGTTCTTGCAGTCCCTGGAATATTTTTGTGTATACCTCAGTTGGTTTTCCTGGAATTTTCCCCCCAAGCATTTAGTGCTGCTGTATGGCATAGGGATATTGTATGCTCAGCATAAGTGGCTTGTACATTCATATCAGTGAAACATCCTTCACCAAGGATTTGATCTTGGGAAATCTCAAAACTTCTGATCTTACCTTGTTGTTCCAGATTCCTTGCTTCCTTTTTCAACCAGTTTTTCCATTGCAACTGCTGGCTATATTCTAGAACAGGTGAAGTTAACTGATTCCAGTCATCTGGTATGATTCTATTTGAGGTAAACCACAAATTAAACATTTGTCTTACAAATGTTGAGTGTATGCCATACGTGACTACTGTTTCCTTCATATTTAAAAAAAAATCTCTCATCGGAATAGGTTGTAATGTATGTTCCACACATTGCTCAGGATGTCTATCATCTGTTGGCCTCTCATGGATGATGACAGGATAAGCCATTGTATGAGAGCCATCTGGAGATGTTATGAGTTGTATGGTCTTCCTTTCTACTTATCAGGTCCTTTGTCATTTTTACTGAGAGTTTCTTCCAGGGCTTGCAAACAAGCACCTAGGATCTGTCCCAGTGAGTAAACCTCCTCTGTTGCAAGGGATTCCAGATTTCTCATGGAATCATGCAACCTTTTATGTTCTTCTGAAACACATGATTCCATAGACCTTATTTTATCAGTTAATGATAACCTTTCTTCCTTATAAAGTGTCTGAGCAGTGACAACATCACCCTGGAGAGCTATTGTTCTATCCATTAAGTATTCATATTTCTTATCAATAAAATCAAATCCGTTTGTACATTTATTGTTAATGTACTGAATTTCTTGTAGTAAGTTAGCAGATTCCAAACTAAGGAGCCTGTTATGTAAGTCTTTATTACTACCTTGTAAATCCTGGTTAGCAGATTCTAGATAAATGGTTTTTTTTTTTATGTAAGTCTTTATTACTACCTTGTAAATCCTGGTTAGTAGATTCCAGAGAAAGAATCTATTTATTCAAGTCTTTATTAGTACCTTGTAATTTTTGGGTAGCAGATTCCAGAGAAAGAATCTTTTTATATAAATCTTCATTGCTACCTTGCAAAGCCTGTATCAGTCTCAATAATGACTCATCTTTGTTATTATTATTAAACTAGTTTTTCAATGTTATATGAATTATTATGGTAAATGCTAAAATTATGTATACCAAATAAGTCCCAGGAAGGTTACATATTTCCTAAAAAATCTCATTTGTCATTCAAGTAAAAAAATTCTTAAATCCTTGTGAAGTACTATTTTCCACCATGTTTTGAGAAATATTCAAAATTTTTAAAGGAAATTTTATTAATTTGTTTATTTATTAATCAGTTTTAAAGTATAAAATTATCAAGTACTCTTACCTGGAATGAAAAACTGATTTCCTTGGTCCTTGCAATGGTTTTTGGGTGTAGTAGCGCTGTTCAGCCAGTAGGTGTTGCTGGTGTAGCGCTAAAGCAGGTCTGGTGCAAGCTGACTGGGGTCCCTGAATGGCTCTTGTGAATTTAAGTGCTCACTCAGGCAACCCTTGAGTACTAGGTAGGGTTGCTGGGACTACAACAGATTATATACAACAATGAGGAAATACACCAATGAGCTGGAAGCTCTCAGGCACAGTCATGCACCTGGCAGGAGCTACCTGTTTGGTTGGTGCTATAGGGCTGGTTACAGTGGGCAGGGGTGGCAGATCCCTGGCCCAGGACACAATAGTGTGAGCCGCTGGGGAGAGGATGCGTGGCTGTGGCTGTGATGGAAGCGGTGGCAGACTGTGGGTAGCTGAGTGCTGCAGGACACAGCAGCTTAAGCCACTGGGGGCGGAGGGAGATGTGCAGAGGTGTTGTGGCAGCTCTCGGGTAGCTGAGTGCCATGGAGTCCTTAGCCACTCTGGAGCTGACGGCAGGCAGGGGTGTGGCACCGTGACCGGACTCAGCTGGAGTGGTGGAAGTAGGTGGGTGGGTGGGCAGGTGTGCTCTTAAGGGCAGAGCACAGCATCCCAGGGTGTCTTAGAATTGGCAGCTGCTACACTGAACAATTTTAAAAGTAAAGGAACAGTCTGCTGGTAATCTCTAAATAGGTGGGGAACTGTGACCCAATCCTGTCGCTAAAAGCACAAAAATAGAAAGGCACCTAGTGCTGCCTTGTGAGTTACCTGGCCAGAGAGTGATTGACTTACACACCTCGTGAGCTGCCTGGTCTACAGGCACCTGGCTGATGTATGTAGCTAGTCATCTGAGTAGGGGCCAGGCCCTTCCTGGGAGGTTGGACTGCATGGGCTCTGCAGGACAGAGAAACTCACCAGCAGCTGCCTGCATACTTTAGGGTTTGGTCATGCAAGTAGCTACAGTAGGGACACGAGGGGCTCAGACCCATGTGGTTGGGACCAAGTAGCTCTCCGTAGCGTGGTTGACCTGCAGCACACAAGCCTCTGAGCCTACCTGCTGCTGCTGCTGCCGTAGCTGCTGTAGTCACAAGCTACAGGGAGTCTGGGGTCTTTTTGTCACGTGGGTGCCACTTATTAAGATCAATCGACGTGAGTCTGTTTAATGGGTAACAGAATTTATTAAGATATACATTGAGGAAAAACATTCACAACTACAGAAAAGAGTAGATAGCAGAAGTTGTCCTCTGATCTGATGGGGAACAAATTTACCTCATAGCCAGGACCGGGGAGAAGGGGCTGTGTCCCCTCTCCATCTCTTTATCAGAGGTCACATCCAACCACAGCAAGCACTTCCTCCTTTGGACCGTATAGCCAGGGTTGTGGGTGGAGCAAACACCACTACATCCACCTCAGGGGAAATCCTTTCCTCCGCAGCTCAGGACTTAAATCTAAGCTGTCCACAGGCCAAAAGCTTTTCCAGGAATCCTTTTCTGCTCATTTTTCTCATCTTTGATAGATTTTTCTCTGATTCTTCCCCAGAAGTTTGCATTCATAGTTCCATGGTTGTAAATCAAGGACATAGTTCCTCTGTTTTGTTGCTTATTTTATTCTACCTTACACTAAGTTTCTTTTTACCCAATATTCCTAATTCTACTCTTATTCTAAATTTCTTCTTACACTATATTCCTATATTCTACCTTACATTTTTTTCTTAATTTTTATAGATAGAAATCAAGAGAGAGAGAGAAAAAGGAAAGAAACCTAGATAGAGAGAAATATGCATTGCAGGTTCACTTTTCAACTTTGGCATTCTGCCACCTAATTTTCACTCTTGAGAGTAAAATATCACCACCTTTATATTTTAATTCCTTATCAAGCATGCCTCCTTATACCTGTAACACCCCCGACACTCCTTTTGCCAAGTCCCTGGTCCCTGTTCTTAGTGCCATCTGTGGGAGGCCAGCTGGGAGACTGGCTCCCACGTTTTACTCCAGGTTACTCTTGAGGAGGAATAAAAGATTTAGATAGAAGGATAGAAAGGAGAGAAGCAGATAGAATCACAGGAGAGCCTCAGGAGGGGTTGGATCCTAGTCCACTGGCCCCTCTTGTCTCTTCTAAAGGGCTGTTTATAGGAATACCAAGGGGTGGAGCAAAAGACCTCTCCCTAGCTTAGCCATGTGTAGACCCTTCCAATCACCTAGAAACCATGCACATAGTCAAGCAATTCTCTAATGCAGCTCTGCTGGGTAAAGCAAACTCAGAACTCAGTAGGAAACCTTTGTGGGCCTCCACAGAGGGGTGAGGACTACATTTATCTAGGGGTACAAGGACAAATACTTAGAGTGTAGTTAGGGATTATGCAGGTTTATTAAAGTGGTTGTAGGTTCTCCTTCAAGAGCCACCAATTTGTTTGACCTGAGTAGTTACCAAGTTTCCAGTACCAAGCATGATGCCGCTCTTGTTAACCAGATCTTAAGTCCAGTTGGAGAGTTCTTGGTTACCACTAAGGTAGGCATGCTACCACTGCGCCCTTAGGGTTATGGTGCAATGCTGGTTGTTGTGGTTCATGGGCATCATAACTGACTAGGACTGTTGGTTGCTTTGTTTCTTTGGAAGCTCTCATGGCACCTTCTGGTATCCCCAAACTTGTCCCCAGAGAAAAAGACACTCAAGTCAGTTTCAGCTCAGGGCTCTGTCTCTGAAGTATCTTAGCGTGGTATCTTCAGCAATTGAGATTTACCTTCCACCTTTGGTAGGCCAATTTTGAAAGAGTTGTATTTAATTTTAGATAGTTATCTCCTATTAGTATATAGTAATAAACGAAACTGGTCCATTGTTTTGTGTATACTCCTTAGAAAAAACTGACATTGTTTTTACTGTTAAACGGATCATAGCACTTTATAAAAATAAAATTTCTTGAGAAACAGACATAAAATAAAAATGAAAATATTCTGAACTTTTTTCTAGGACATGAGCCTGGAGGGCATAGCCAGGGGTGAGGAGTCCATCCTGTCAGAGGTGAGAAGGAATGTGTATTATTTGAGATGAATACATGCTTTAGAATGGAAACTTTATTTTTGTATCAGTGGCTAAAGTTTGAATAAGGGCACTGTCAATACTGCTGGTCTAGGATGGGCATGGTGGAGCACACACGTGATCACAGTGCCCGAGGTGGGAGAGTTGTGATTCCTGGCATGCCTAAAGCTACATAGTGAGACTGTTTTAACAAACAAAAGCAAACCCAAAACCCAATAAAAGTGACAGTCCAAATGGATATTCTAATGATAAGTTGCAGGTGTATGTTGCTTTAAACTAACCCTCAAGGTGGATAAAATTGGACATGCAGTATGTACTTGTATATTTTGAAGCACATAGAATTTCTTACAAATTATGCATTTTGAAATTCTAAATGCATTAAAAATAACTTTTAGTGCTTCTTACTAGAATTCTTTTGTTACTAGGCATTGGTGAATTCTGCTAATTAACAATGTTGAGTTTGGGTGCTTAATTCAGAAATTTTATATCAAAATTGCAAGAAAAATAGCATGCTGAAGAAAAATTATTTTGAAGTCATGTGAAAGTAAAAACTTATTTTTATATGACTGTAGGAATCAGTGGACTCAGGCAAAACGTTAGCTGAAATCAGTGATCGGTATGGGGCACCTAACTTGAGCAGAGTGGAAGAGCTTGATGAGCCAATGTTATCTGATGTAAGTATCATGATGTGTCATCCCAGAACAGATTATGTTTCATGTTGATAAAGTCTAGTATATATGAAGTGGGTTGGCAAATAGAACTTTTCCTTCATACAAAGAAGACCAAATGTGTGTGTGCTAACCAATTTAAAAAAATTTTTTTTTACCTTTATGTGTATGAGTATTTTGACTGTATGTATATGTCTATGTGCCATATTTGTGCACTGTCAGTGGAGGCTGGAAGAGGTACCAGATCCCCTGGGACTGGAGTTACAGAAGTTTGTGAGTGCCATATAGGTGTGCTAGGATTCAACCTCAGGTCTTCTAGAAGAACATCCAGTGCTCTTGACCACGGAGCCACTTTTCTAGCCCCATTAACCAGATTTTTAACTGGTGCTCTGCCTGTCAATGAGCTGGCAGTGGCATATCTCTATTTACATCTATAGCATCATATCTGCCTATGCTTCTATCTATATCCAATCATCCGTATCTGTGTATTTTACAGTTAGATTTTGGAACCATCAAAACCTCTTAAAAATACATGTGTGAAATATTTTTTTGAAATACACAATCCTTAAATTCAATAGAGAAAGAACCATTCAGGCTCTCTGGAGCCAACTTTGGAAACACATAAACAGTTTAATGCAAACAAAGGTTTTTATAGTATGTAAGTGAATGTGTTTATTTAACAAGCATGTTTTGATGTCTGTGTATCAGGCATTGTGCCTGATGGAGTGGGCAATAAGGCAGTTTTCACCTCATGGAATTTCTTGCCTAGAAGAAAAATACAACCAGAGGGGTTTAGTGCTTATCATTAGAATAACCAGGATTCTATTGCCCATACCAGTGTAGTTTATGACTGAAAGAAGAGCCATGAATAGCTCACTCAGATCAGCAGGGGCATTGTCCTACCAGGAGGGCAATGTGATGTCTAATCTTGGTTGTCAACTTGATACACCTGGAAATGAATTTGAATTGCCTCAATCAGATTAGTCTGTGGGGGGCATTTTCTTGATTGCTAATTGATATAGGAGAGTACAGCTTACTGTGGGCTTGGGCTGAATAAGAAATAAGGAAAGTGAGGGAATGAGCCAGTAAATAGTGGTCTGGCCTTGTCTAGTCTTCTATGGATTCTGCTTCAGTTCTTGCCCCAGCTTCCTTCAGTGATGAATTGTGATCTGGATGTGTAAGCCGAATAGCCTGCTCCCTCCATATTCCTTTGGCCATGGTGTTTGTCTCAGCAACAGAAAGAAAGCGAACTAGAAGAGGCACATCTTGTTACTTCATTCTCTGGGCACTGAGAGGGTGGGACATGATGAGGACAAAGGAACCTTGATGCAGAAAGAATTGCAGGCAGGAATAATAAGAAGGGTAAAGACCCAGGTAGGAGAGAGAAAAGAAGAAAAGAGAAAAGAGAAAATTGCTTAGGGCAATGAGGGAGGAGGTCAGGAGACAGTCAGGGCCAGACCCTGAAAGAACTTGTAATTCCTGCTCTGGGCCTCAGACATTTTCCTTCAGGCAGTGGGAGACTTATCTCATCAGAGCTGCACTTTAGAAAGAGCATCTACTCTTTCAACAGTCGGGAGGAGAATGGGGAAGTAGGTGTGAGTAGATTTGGTAGTAATCCAGAAAGAACACAGACGCTAACTGAGCTGAGGGAGGGAGCAAGGTGGTGAGGAGAGTGTACAGAGTGAGAAGGCCTGCAGGCGGGAGCAGGAGGAACCACACGGAATTGCAATATTTAATGGTGCCTGTTGGAAGTAGAGAAAAAGATGAATTTAGGAGTTTTCAAGAGCTATTCACAGCAGGGAGCTACAATACATGAACAGTTCCATTCCCTTGAGCCATGTGTCATTGGGAAAAGACCAAGAAAGGAGATTTGGAACTAGAGAAGGCAAAAAGCAGCCAAACAGCCCAGGGTTCGAGCTGAGCTTCACAGAGCTAGGAACATGGTAAAACTTAAAGGCAGGGAAGTGGAAAGTGTCAGATCACATGTGCATGTCACTTAGACAGATGGGACTTAGGAGCAGAGGGAGTTATTGGGAGCATATGAGGATTTTTATCAGGTGGAGAGTTAGAGTGAAGCAGGTATTCAAAGGGGAGACCACATGGCAGTGGTTACTGTCATCTGTATGCAAGATGACCAGGGCTAGAGAGCACAGAGGTGACCAGAATGGACTTGAATTTGGCTCAAGAGATGGAGAGAGGGTGTTAAGAGTGAATCCTAGCCTTTTGTCTTGAGCAGCTGAGCTGTGAGTCTTATCATTGGATGAGTTGGTGAACATAAAAGAGGAAGAAGGGTTTTTGAACAGGGAGGCTTTAGTCATGGAGATGTTAAATTTCAGGTGACTCTGAGATATGCACATGATTCAAACCTACTTTATGTATGGTATAGCTCTGGTAGGGATGGGAGGGTCATGCAGAAGATTTAAATTCAGCAGCCAGTGTATTCACTGAGCCAGGGAAGGGAGCATGCTGTTGAGGAATGAATGCAGCGTGTGAAGGTCCATCTGTGAAGGAACCACTAGAAATTCCAGTAAGAGGTGCCTGAACTGGAGACATGACTACACCCTTAAAGGCCAAGGCTCTCAATCAACAGGACAAGGGTTCTGTTCTCAAAGGGAGGTGGCTCTGGAAAGGTGGTGCCTCTTAGGAAGGATGAGAAAGACAAGGATAAGACTTCATTTGGGAACATGAAGTATAATTATATACTACTTGAGTACTCTTCTAAAATAATCTGCAACTCAGAAAACTTCCTTTACAGGATCACATTGATATTACTTAAGCTCTGTTTTCTTCTCTTTGTGTCTTTTCATAGTAGTAAAGTTTATTTACCCTGTATTTTTCTTTTAGGTTGCATTAAACATTGATCAAGATTTGTAGGACCAACCAACTGCAAAGAATTATTTTCTACCTGTTTCAAACTTCAAATCACAAGGGCCCTAATATGTATTTTCTTCCTCCAAACTTGAACTCTACTCCCCCGGTTAACTTTATAAATGGGACTCAAGGGTATCCTTAAAATACAGTTTAGATTTCTCAGTACATCTGGTTACTTGTGTGATTTATTGTGGACAGAATTTGCAGAAGCAACAAAAAGAGGCAACAGATGGACCAAAAGAATGTACATCTCTACAAAGAACAAGAATGCTTGGAAAGAAAGTTCTAGAAAAGAAACTACTATTGTACAAAGGATGGAGGTCTTGAGTTTTTCAAGTCTCAGATATTGCCTCTCCTTTAGGAATGAAGTGAAAAGCATTTCCTAGGTTGCTGGCAGGTGGAGCCCCATAGGAACACAATTAAACTTCCATGATGTAGCCAGATTCGAAGGGAGTGTTTTCCCCATTGCTCTGTTGGTGGCTGTTCTCAAGCTTGGCTTGACTATCTACACTCAAGAACAGGTCTGGGGTTTCTTTTTCTTTACTCTCTGTACAGTTGGGTATCCAAGTTCTGTCTTTCTTTTCAGGGTTTGTGAAAGTAGGATTGTTGAAATGAGTGTTCACACAGAGGCAGGGGAGTGGGAAAGTCTTGGAGGGCCTGGAGCACATTTTTTCTTGATCAGCCAGTAGGCTCAGGCACTATGACACCATGGTCAGACAGATCTTTTGGTCCCTTTGAAGTTTCAGCATACATCTAGAGCTCTCAGGAGAACTTCCTTCCTGAATTCTTCCAAATCCAATGGTGTTGAGTTTTTACTTCTCAAAGACGTGGGTATAAAACCACAAATACTAGAAAGAAACCCCTTTTTTTTTTAAAAAAAAATATATTTTGTATATAATATCATTTTTCCAAGCCATTGTTCAGATGGAAATTGAAACAGGAAAAAAATAGGAGAAATTACTTATTTTATTAAATATATATATTGTCATGTCTGTTCTATATATTTTTCACAAAAAGCTCTGGAGAGATGTGTTCTCTGGGACTCTTCCAAGGCAGTATGGTCTGGTATGGCTCACCATCATTCACACCCATGAGTGAGAGTCTGTCAGAGGAGGGAACTGTGTCTTTGCAGGTCTACCTAGCCTCAGAGAACTCCATCGTGGGAGGCTGGTGGTCCAAGACTGTGGGATCCCACAAAGATTCCAACTTGTAGTTTGATTCAAGGTCAGAGAATCAGAGTTTATGTTGTTCTCCAAGGCTGCATAATAAGGTGTAAAAACATAGTTACTCGATGTCTTATACTTTAAGGCCTAATCATAAGAAGCTTTGCCGTGAGGCGTGGTTGCCAGGTGTTTTGAAGGGTCTACACTTGGTTGTATATTGTGCTTTGATCTTGAAATGGGGAGGTTTTTGCCTCTTCCCCTGCTAGTGTATAAAAAGCCCATTAGAAATAAACTTGAGGCTGCTGGATATTGACCCAGGGACCTCCTGAAGTTATCTGTGTCTCTTTTTCTTCATCTGCTTCTATATTTCCTATCTAGCATTTCTCAATTCCTTACTCTCCCCCTTCAAGGGACCTTTTGATGGATTGGGGCTGGTCCCCAACCAACAATGGGGTCCAACAAGAGACAGGAAGGTGTGGGGGGTGATTTTTGGACTTTGTACAGCCTGGAACAGTCCTCAAAGGGTATGGGTGAGAGCTAGATTTGGTTGGTAATAGGCTGGGTTCCTTTGTGGTTCCAAGTAAGGTACAGTTTTGTTTAAAGTAGTCCTGGCCAGAACTCAGTGAGAGAGTGAAAAGCAGATATTCTTTGCCCTAAAGGGAGATGGGTCTCAAATAGAATGGCTAATCCTGGCTGTCCACCAGAGTCATAGACTTTCTTGCTGATGGCAGCTAGGCTCATTTTGCAGACTGTCTCTGCTGCTGGATCAATCCTGGGATTATTGTGAAGAGATCTAGATCTTCTATCTGAGTCAGACTCAGGGATAGCAATGAATCCAGAAGAGGAGAAAATATATGGGAAAACAGTGGCTACAAAGGATGTAAGCATAAGTGATTGTCTTAGTTAGGGTTGCTATTACTGTAAAGAGACACCATGACCATGGCAACTCTTATAAAGGAAAATATTTAATTGGGGTGGCGTGCTTGCAGTTCAGATGTTTAGTCCATTATCATCATGGTGGAAAGCAAGGCAGCATGCAGGCAGATATGGTGTTGGAGAAGGAGCTGAAGGTTCTTTCATCTAGACCTGCAGGCAACAGGCAGTGATCTGAGACACTGGATGTGGCTTGGGCATATATGGGACCTCAAAACCTGCCTCCACAGTGACACTTTCTTCAATAAGACCACACCTACTCCAACAAGGCCAACCTCCTAATAGTGCCACTCCCTTTGGGGGGCCATTTTCTTTCAAACCACCACAGTAATTAAACTAATTTTTCCCACTGCAAAAGATTAGACCACTAAAATGAAAATGTTTGCAGGCACACTGAATATGGAATAAAAGGATAATAAATTTATAAGGATATATAAATTTATAATTATATAAATTATAATTATAATTTAAATAAATTATAATTATAATTAAATATAATATATTTATATTTATTTTTATATAATTATATATTTATTTTTATAATATATAATTATATATTTATATATAATTATAAAATTATATTTATAATTAAATAAATTAAAATGATAATAAATTAATAATTTATTAAGGATAATAAAATAATAAATTTAATTTCCCCTTTTATTGAAAATAGATTCTTTTCTCATATAGTATATTCTAATTCCAATTTTCCATCCCTCTAGGCCTCCTAGTTCTCCCCACCTCCCTCCCATCCGAATCCAATCCCTTTCTGTCTCTAATTACAAAAGAACAGATTTCTAAGAGATAACAACAAAACATAGCAAAATAAATTATAAGATAAAACAAAACCATCACATCAAAGTTGGACAAGGCAAGCCAGCAAAAGGAAAAAATCCCAAGAGAAGGCACAAGAATCAGGGACCCATTCTTTTCACACACTCAGGAGTCCTATAAAAACACAAAACTAGAAGCTATAATATATATGCAGAGGACCTAGTGCAGACATACGCAGGCCCTGTGCATGCTGCTTCAGTCCCTCTGAGTTCACATGAGTTTTGCTCAGTTGATTTAGAGGGTCTTGTTTTCTTGATGTCCTCAATCCCCTCTGGCTCTTACACTCTTTCTGACTCCTCTTTCTCAGGATTTCCTGGGTGCTGAAGGGAGGGTGTTGATGTAACCAACCGTCTTATTAAATAAGAAACACAGAAACAATGTAAAAGAGAAAGCCGAGAGGTCAGAGCTCAGAGCTAAAATCTCACCCTTCCGCCTGCGGTGTCCCAGCTTCCTGAAAGAGACCTACTTCCTGTCTGTTCGTTTTTTTTATAGTATGTTGTTCTGCCTTCTCATTGGTTGTAAACCCAAACACATGACTGCCTCGTCACTGTCTGAATGTACAGCCCCCTAGGTCTTAAAGGCATATGTCTCCAATGCTGGCTATATCCCTGAACACACAGATATCTATGGGATTAAAGGCGTGTGCCACCACCGCCACACTCTTGCTATGGCTCTAATAGCTCTGACCCCCGGACAACTTTATTTATTAACATACAATCAAAATCACATTTCAGTACAATTAGATTACCACCACAGGAGGGATTTGATGAAGACATTCTATTTAGAGTGGAGACACCTCATTTAGAGTGTTCCAAGTTCTCTCTCTCTCTCTCTCTCTCTCTCTCTCTCTCTCTTTCTCTCTCTCTCTCTCTCTCTCTCTCCTCTCTCTTTCTCTCTCTCTCTCCCCACATAATGTCTGTGGGGTTCTGTATTTGTTCTCATCTTCTACAGAAGGAAGCTTATCTGATGATGGCTGAATAAGGCATTGATCTATGAGTATAGCAGATACTCTTAATATCATTAAGAGTCATTTTATCACTTTTAAAAAAAGACTGTCAGTATTTGGTTTTATCCCCAGTCTTTGGGCTACCTAGTCTCTGGTTCTTGGTCACCCAAGCAGTGTTGGATATGGGTTCCAACTCATGGAGTGGGCCATAAGTTAAATCAGACATTGGTTGGTTACTCCCACAAACTTTGTGCCACCATTGTCCTGGCATATTTTGTGGGGAGGACAGATTGTAGACGAAAGGTTTTGTGGCTGAGTTGGGGTTGGTCTTTCTGTTTTTTTTATTTTTTATTTTTATTTTTTTTGGTAACCAGTGGAGTACCTTCCTGTACCAAAGACACTATAACTTAGGGGTGAAGGCTCTAATGTAGGCACCTGCTTGACTTTTCCATGTTCAGTAGGTATATGGGTGTTGTCTTCAGCAATGGGGCCTTGCTGTCAGTTTGTGGAGAACAGACTATTGTCTTGGCAACAGTCTAGGTGATTTAGGAATTTTCATGGGACCCCTTTAGCCAACAACTCAATGGAATGTAACCCAGTCCCAGTACTGGATGCTTTGTTTGGTTTCAAGTGTTGGCCTGTTGAAACTCTGTCTCCCCCATTATTTGGAGACCTCAGAGTATTACCCTCACATATTTTATGAAGTTCCCACTGCAACAAGTTTCCATACTGCCCCTCAAATACCCCTCAGTTCTAGATTTCTCTCCTGCCATCCCTCCCTCAACTCTCTCTACTCTCTTCTCCTTCCCACCTGATCCTCCCATTTCCATTCCCCCTTCCCCACTCTTAAAATCTATTCTATTTCTGCCTCCCAGGGATATACATGTGTCTCTCCTTACTCTGTGCCTAGCCTCTCTGGGTCAGTTATCATTTACTATGGCTTGGTTATCATTTACTTCACAGATAATATCCACATATAAGGGAATACATACATATTTATTTTCTGGGTCTGAGTTATCTTATTCAGGATGATTTTTTTCTAGTACCACCCATTTGCCTATAAATTCCATGATGTCATTTTTAATAGCTGAGTAATACTCCATTGTATAAATGTACCACATTTTCTTTATCCATTCTTCTGTTGAAGGGCATTTGGGTTGTTCCCAATTTCTGGCTATTCTGAATAGAGCAACGATGAACATGGCTGAGCAAGTGTCCTTGTGGTGGGATGAAACATCTTTTGGGTATATGTCCAAGAATGGTATGACTAATCCTGAGATAGATCGATTCCCATCATTCTGAGCAACTGTCACACTGATTTACATAGTGGCTGTACAAGTTTGTCTTTCACCAATGGGTGAGTATTCCCTTTATTCCATATTCTCTCCAGCATGAACTGTCACTTGTGTTATTGATCTTAGGCATTCTGACAGGTGTAAGATTAAATCTCAAAGTAATTTTGATTTGCATTTCCCTGATGGCTAAGGATGTTGAACATTTAAGTGTTTGTCAGCCATTTGATTTTCCTCTATTGAGATTTCTTTGTTTAGATCTGTACCCCATTTTAAAATTAGATTATTTGTTTCTTGGATACTTGGTTTCTTAAGTTTTTTTTTTTAAAAAACATATATTTTAGATATTACCTCTCAATCAGATGTGGAGTTTGTAAATATCCTTGCCCATTCTACAGGTTGCCACTTTGTCTGAATGATGGTTTTCTTTGCCTTACAGAAGCTTTTCAGTTTCATTTATTAATTATTGATCTTAGTGGTGTGCCAGTGAGTGACACACTTCTAACAAGGACATACCTACTCCATAAAGGCCATACCTCCTAATTTACTGATCCTTCTTAAGTAGTTCTGCTCCATGATGAATAAACACTAAATATTCCAGATTCAGAAGGACAAACATGGTGTATACTCACTCATAAGTGAATACTAGATGTAAAGTGAAGGATAATCAGACTGCAAACGACAGCTCCAGGGAGGCTAGCTAGCAGGGAGGACCCTAGGAAGGATGCATGGATCTCCCAGTGAAAGAGAAATAGATGAGATCTACATGAACAAACTGGGAGTGTGTGTGTGTGGGGGGTAACAGAGGGCAAAGAATTGGGGATGAGAACATAAGGAAATGGGAGGTTTGAGCTGGAACAGGGACAGAGTGGGAGAGCAAGGAAAGAGATACCATGATAAATGAAGACATCATGGGAGTAGGAAGAGGCAGGGTGCCGGGGAAGTTCCCAGGAATCCACAAGAATGACCCCACCTTGGACTACTGGCAATGGTCGGGAGGGTGCCTGAATTGGTATACTCCAGATTAGTAAATACCCTAAGTGTCATCATAGAGCCTTCATCCAGTTACTGATGGTAGCTGATGCAGAGATTCATGGCCACGTGCCAGGTCAAGCTCCAGGAATCCAACTGATGAGAGAGAGGAGGGATTTTGTGGGCCGGTGACGTGGAGATCATGATAGGAAAATGTGCGGACCAGCCACACTAGTGGTAACGCATGAACTGTGGACGAATAGCTGTGGAGCCCCTACAGGACTGGACTCGGCCCTCTGGATAAGGGAGATAGTTGTTTGGCTTGAACTGTTTGGGGGCCCCCCAGGCAGGGGGATTGGGATCCATCCCTGGTGCATGGGCGGGCTTCTTGGAACCCAGCGCCTAGGGTATGACACCTTGTGCAGCCTTGGTGCAGGGGGGAAGGGCTTAGACCCACCTCAGCTGAGTGTGCCAGGCTCTGCTGACTCCCCATGGGAGACCTTAATGTGTGAAATGTGGGGATGGGGGGTGGGTTGTGTGTGGGGGAATAATAGGGGGTGGGTAGAGGGAAGGGGGGGTTCTGTGGTTGGTATTTAAAGTGAATAGAAAATTCCTTAATAATAAAAAAAGGGGGTAAAACTCCCAAACAACCAAACAAAACAAACAGAAACAAAACAAAAGAAAGCAAAAAAGCCAAACAACAACGAAAACCACTTCACTCCTCTATCCTTCCTACCTCTCTACCGCCTCTTCATTCATCTCAGAAGATTTGGGAGCTGCTGTATAACACATGCCGTATGCCCTTTTGTCCAAACAGCTTTACTTGCAAATGTCCATTGTGTAATGTGTTGTTGGTCAGGTTCAAGGCCTTTGGCTTCCGGTACAACATCAATGCTGAACCCTCACGGAAACTCCTCTCAGATATCCTTTTGTTGAGTCATTGAGATCCTGCGGCTATGGTTCTGCAGGACCAGTCCCTTAATGCACTCCAGTAGGTCACAACTGGGGTAGATGTTGGGGTGTGCCAACTCAGTGCTCCGGATGTGGGTGGCAGCTGAGTTATCAATTCAGGCTGCTGGGACCACTCCCCTCAGGTGAGGGAGGGAACCAGCTTTCCCACACTAGTGGTGAGGGAGGAGGCCGGATTCTCAAGAGGGGAGCAGCTTTCCTATGAGGGGTAGGGCCAGCTCTCCCATGCTGGGGTCATTGGGGTTCTCTATGCCAGGGCTGGTGATGGGCAGAATCAGCTCAGCACCACTCTTATATTTCTACCCATGGTTCAACACATTCGTATGGGCCCCTGGGGTAACACGGGCAACAGGCAGCAACACAGACCCTAGTTGCAGCAGGACCAGGGACCGAGATGTGACCACCAGCAGCAGCAGCTTGTGTTTGGATGTTTCCATAGCCCTTGGTAGCAGCACAGGCCTCATGGATGGGCATGGACCCAGCAGTAGTGTGGTCCCAGACCCTAGGTGGCAGCCCAGACCCCAGGCAGTCACACAGCAGGCCTTCAATGGTAACAGGAACCACAGACGTCAACACAGACCCTGGCTACAGCAGGGCCATGGACCCAGACATGGCCCTTGGCAGCAGCCCATGCCCAGATGTCGTAATGGCCCCAGATGTCAAGCAGGCAACCCAAATCAGCCCATTCCTCACCACCTTCCCCTCTTCAGATCTGCCTCTCTCCACAGGACATGAGCTAGTCTGTCTCTCTCCCATACCCCACCAAGGTGCCAGGTAGGCTGTGGTCTCTTCTACTCTCCTGAGGCAAACAGCCCCAGGTGGGTCTGTGGGTGTCCTTCACCTGCCTAGTCCTTGAGGTTTGGTGTTTTACCCACAGTCTGTCTGTACCATGTATGTGCAGTGCCTGGAGGCCAGAAGAGGGCATCAGATTTTTTTGAAGCTGAAGTTACACATGGCTATGAGGTACCGTGTGGGTGCTAGTCGCTGTGAACTGCATTTAAAACTTTTTCATATTCACTTTTATTTTGTGCCTAGAATCTTTGAATTCATCATCAGCAATGAGACATTTATATTACCCTAAACTTCAATTCCTCATGTGAAAATAAAATAATGTGTAACTTCTTTGTTGATTACCAAGATTAAAATAGGTAGAAATTTCTTTTTCTGGATTTATTTTTAAAATCTAATTTAATATCTCTGTCTCTCTGTCTCTGTCTCTCTCTGTGTCTGTGTCTGTGTCTGTGTCTGTGTCTCTGTCTCTGTCTCTCTCTCTCTCTCTCTCTCTCTCAGCTTCCTAAGCCCTATGTGGAAATTCAGGCCCATATTGGAATGCCAAAATGTTGTTGGTTGTTTTTACTCTTTGGGGGGCCCACCACCCAGCTCCCAAATAAATCACTCACAGAGACTTATTCTTAATTATAAATGCCTGGCCTTAGCTTGGTTTGTTTCTTGCCAGCTTTTCTTAACTTTAAATTATCCCATCTACCTTTTACCTCTGGGCTTTTTCCTTTTCTTTCTTCTGTATATCTTACTTTCACTCTTACTCTGTGGCTGGCTGTGTGGCTGTGTGGCCGTGTGGTTGACCTCTAGTGTCCGCCTCTCCTTATTTTCTTGTTCCTTCTCCCCCCCGCCCCAGATTTCTCCTTCTATTCATTCTCTCTGCTTGCCAGCCCTGCCTATCCTTTTTCCTGCCTCACTATTGGCCATTCGTCTTTTTATTAGACCATCAGATATTTTAGACAGGCAAAGTAACACAGCTTCACAGAGTTAAACAAATGCAACATAAAAGAATGCAACACATCCTTGCATCATTAAACAAATGTTTCACAGCATAAACAAATATAACACATCTCAAAATAATATTCCACAGCAGACTGGCTGGTCAGTGAGCCCTTACGATCCACTGGGGCTTGTGCGTTTACACTGGACTTTTAGGGGTGTGTTACATACCCAAACAGGTCCTCATGTGTGTACAGCAGCACTTTACCAATTGAATCATTTCTCAAGGCCCAGTATTTTAATACTGTTGGATATGCAGATTGCCATTGCAGAGGACCCAAGTTTGGTTCCCAGCATACAAATTGTCTTTCTGTTGCTCTCTTTGACCTAGAGAGTGGGACAGGAGGCATCTGTCCGGGAGCATTGGAACTGACATAATAGTTATATTTTTTAGGAGGCTGGGAGCTGAACCATGTGATTCATGTATACAAGGAAAACCTTACCGAGTATCCTACCCATTGAAAAGACCAAGATATAGATGACAGGAAGCAGCAAGTAAAAATGAAAGCAAAAACTTTTGAAAAATCCAGGAACCCAGATAATACGAATTAAGCTGTACTTATTTCTGGTTATGTGTCAAGTTGTAACACTTCTTGTCACCACTAGAAGTCACAAAGATTCAATTTACAAACCAGAGCTGCTTCTTGCCTTATAATCTTGTACAGCTCAACAAATTCATATTTAATATGGCCATCCTGCCAACCATTATAATTTGTTAGCCCGACATAAACATGCCAGGGACACTTACTTTAAAATCATTTAAAGCCAATGTTACAGTGAAGTGTTTCATACTTGTGATGTTTCTTGCATACTGTGTGGAAAGTGAAAAACAGAATGGTTGGACAGGTTTTAACCATTAACCCACATAGATGAAGGTACATGTGGTCTGGAGGATGTTTAAAGCATCTCATTAGAATCACTTGCTGGTAGCTATGACGATGTAATCACCGATTTCTCTGAGATCAGGGACAGAAGGCACAAAGGAGTCGACACCTGCTGGTTGAGCAGTTCAGTGTTCCTTGGGAAGATGTCATGTGTTGTCTGCTCCATTTGTTTCTTTTTCTATGTTGTTTCTTCATGAGAAGCAAGAGCATCTTGCATCTGCCTGTCTGACCTTGTGAACCTGGGCTGTCCACCTCCTCTGACTTCTGTCCCCTTTCCTGAGGGTGTCCCATACCACTGCCAGTGTCTTTGTTGTGAACCTTCTTGGTGCTTTGGGTTTTAACTTCTTCCTTTTCTTCCACTTTGTGGTTTCTGTTTTCATCCAGTTCCTTCAATTCATCACTGGAAAGCTTTTCAGCTTCTGTGCCAAGGGGCATGTGAAGACCTTTATCAGTGCCCGGTTCTGGATGTTTCCCAACTAACTGTTAGCCTAACTCACACATTTTCTCTTACATGGCATACATCACATATTAATTAAGCCTGCTTCTCACAATGCAAGACCTTCCCTGTCCTCTCCCCAGAAACCTTTAATAGTAGAAATCTTGCCAAACAAAGCTGTGACTGAAGCTTTTTACCTCAGATTCCTGCCATACTGCTTGCTGAGGTGCTAATAAATCATCTGCGTTGAGGACGACCCTAACCTTTGAGAATGTTTTTCAGTTGTTCTTCCAAATGCCTATGGTGCTTCTACGGCATTTCAGAGAGCAGAAAATTAATACTGTTAAAAAATTCTGGCAGTTTTCGTCTATGCTTGATCAAGTCCAATGACCTAAGCAACTATTTGCTGTAAATAGGATGCTTTGAATAAAGCTCTCGCACATTGATTCATTGGTTGAATGAACGCAGTTACAGTTGGTGGTAAACACACAACTTTTATGTTAGTGTGGATTGTGTACATATGCCATAGATACCTGCCAGACCAGAAGACTCTTGAATGAAATGACATTTTTGTTTATAGAACACTCTTGTCTGTAGAATAAAACAGTTCAAAAACCAGTCTTCAGACAATGCTGGCATTACCCAGGCTCTCTTGCTCTAGTGCTAATAAATGGGGAATGCATGCTTGCTCACATTCTTGAATGTTCCAGGCTTCTTTAGCTGTAGGAGGACTTTCGTTTGAACCGCACAACATCTCCACCAAAAGCAGCATCTCACAGTCTTTAAATGCATAGGCTTCATGCTTCCAAGACAGGATGGTTTCATCAATGTTAAGTAGTTGTTTTTACAGATTTTTCTCAACTATAGCAACCCCATGCAGCTTGCTCTTTCTTCTGGATCAACATTTGCTACCTACTACTGACCTTCAGGTTTGGAAAATTGCGATAATCCAACTCCCATTATGCAAGCTTGAGCTGGGGCAGAAAAACTTATACTCCTTTCTGCTTTCCCTTTATTTTATGTGTTTATTTAGAAAAAGTCTCCTGTGCCTTGAACTCCTGATTCTCTTGCCTCCACCATCACACCCTGGTTGAGAATTAGTATTGCTACCAAGTTTCCAGCTTCAATTGTTTGATACTAGTGCTTTAGGGTACAAAAGGCACACTTGTGAAAGCCCTGGGTACAGGTTGTGTCCATTCTCAAGATCCTAGATAACATTACATTGCTTTCCAAAGTAGTCATGTGAATTCCCACTGCTCACAGCAGAGCGTGGGAGTCCCTACTGTGGTCATCCTCTCTGGTTCTTGGTAATGTTTCACTTCCATCCATCCCCCACCATAGGAGCACACTTTGTAGTTTCTTTGTGGTTTAATTTGCATTTTCTTCTATTGCTAGTGAGATGAAGCCTCTTTTTGTGTTTACTGCTGATTGATTTGCCCACCTGGGAACTGCATGCTCAGTATTTGCTTACACACTGTATCGATTTGTTTGTCTCTGTCCTATTGATTTTCTTTGTTGATTATATGTGTTGGGAAACTGCTCAGGTGGTAGGCTGACTTTACCTGTTTTACCACACTCATTGCTTGGTAAAATGACTCAGTTTTATTTTATTTAAGTATCCCATTGTTGTCTCCACTGTTTCATTAATTAATGAACTATTTTCAAATCTTCTAGACCAAAGGATTATTTTTTTCAAGTTAATTCTCTGCCAAGCTGGCCAGTAATCACACTTACAATGTAAAACTATGGCAAAGTGCATTTTTAGCAGTTGTACTGAATGATAAGAATTCTGGCTTAGGACTTGAATGGTGGCAACTGGCATCTGAGGTGTTAGAGTTGAGTGTCTTTTCTCCAACTTAAACGTGTCAGCCTACTTCCAGCCTTGCCATTATTTTCAGTGCTTTAATTTCCTTTCCTTTGAGTTACTGTGGGGGGATCCATAGCTGGGAGGTACACAGAATGACTTCCCAGGCTCTGAGACTGGCCATGGTTGGTAGATGGATCTTATGAGTTACAAGAAATGTTCACATGCTCTGGAATGACTCCCCCATGACCATTCTTCCCAAATAGGTATTTGTTTTCACCAATCCTATCTTGAAATTCAGTTATTTCTGACATTATAGTTCATTCAGTTAAAAGGAAGGAATCACCTACTACAATGCAGGCATGATGCAAGACTCTATCTGGATTGCATTTAGTTTATAGAGGAAGAAGTGCAAGTTCAAACAGCGCAGGCTAGAGAGGAAAGGAGTTTGACAGACACGCATGCTGGAGAAGGCTGAGGGCAGAGCAGCTGCCCTGAGGAAGGCATGGAAGGGCTGCTTCTGGGGAGAAGTTGGTGGTAGACGCAATGCTAGTCAGCCTCTGGCCCACAGTGTGGGCTCTGAATCCAGGGCAAGCACTGTGTCCCTTTACCCTTTCTGATGTCTCATGATATTCTACTCAATGCTTTGTTACAAATGATCATTACATATCAGAAGTCACAAACACAAGAGAGCCAGGAGTTCAAGGACATCTTTGGCTATGTAGGAGTTGGGAGGAAAAAAGGTGGGGCAGCAGGATGACACAGTGGTTAACGTACTTGCCAAGTCTGAAGAATTGAGTTTGATCTTCTGAACTCACACAGTGAAGGACAAAACTCATTCTTCTAACTCAGCAGTTCTCAACCTGGGGACTGAACAACCCTTTCAGAGGGGCTGCATATCAGATATCCTAAATATCAGATATTTACATTATGATTCATAACAGTAGCAAAATTACAGTTATGAAGTAACAAGGAAAGTAATTTATGGTTGGAGGTCACCACAAATGAGGATGGAATAAAAGGGTAGCAGCACTAGGAAGGTTGAGAATCATTTTTAAACTATTCTCTGATCTCTACACAGCACCTTGGCACACTTGCCCACCCTCCCTGCAAAGTAGATAAATGACTGCAATAACAAAGTGTAAGCCAGTGGAAGCACATCATATGAACAGCAGAATTAGAGGTGTGGTTGCTTCATTTTTCAAAGATTCCTTGTGTATAATGCTAGAAGATCCAAGGTCAAGCCATCAGTAATTACAACCCTGAAAGGTCCTCCTCCCCATGGAAAAACAATAGAATTTTGGGTAATTGCTAAATAACCAACCACTGTGTGTAAGTAGCCACAATAGGCAATCACCATTTCTAGGGAGTTATTTTTTATTATCTTGAATTAATCAAGAAGAAGGAATTGAAGCCTGTTAAGTGAAGTACAGAGCAGTGAAAGAATACTTGGAATGGGGAGAGCTGAGTTCAAATGTTGTACCACTTACTGATCACACAAGCCAAATAAGTCACCTAATTTCTGTGGTCTTGAGTGTTCTCCTCCAT